AGTATTTTTTATAACACTTGCATCTGAGTTTCTAATGATTGTGTTTAACTTCTATCAGCTCATTTAACCATATTTGATTATCTAAATATCTTGGATCTATGTTTGATTAAATTTGACCTAATTTATACTCAATTATATACTCGTGTTCAACAGTGTTATATGGTAAATTTGTCTTACAAGCTTTACAGTATATATACAGATGATGGTTTTCTATATTACATGAGTAATTACATCTGAATTCTCCACTATTTATAGGTTGTTCTGCTATCACTTGTTTGATTTTTATATTTGCTTTATATATATTCTGCATTTCTTCAAGTGGGAATTGGTATCCTATGGTAATAATTATTGGCTTAAACTAATTCTCTAAAAGTTTATTTTCTAGTATTTAGTCCTGATTATTTGAAGGATTTGAAATGAACCATTCAGTCTTATATTCATTATTTTTCTCAGAATAGGGTGGATTATCTGTGATATAATTATTTTCGATAAAAGAAATATAGTCAGTTTCTACATCTGATTTAAAGTTCAAGAAAAATACCTCTGATTTCTCTGATATTTGTAATAAAGCATCAGCATTTGCATTAGTTTTTCTAGATCTATATTTAATAATGAACTCATATTGCTAAAGTTCTATTATCCATTTTGCTCTTTGACCTTTAGATAATTTGGAGGTTTGTAACCATTTTAAAGCTGAATGATCAGTTACAAATATGAAAGGTTTCATTTCCAGATAATACTAGAAATGTCTTATAACTCATACAACTGCTAAATATTCTTAATCAGTGATAGCATAATTCTTTTTAGCTGAACTTAGGCTTCGACTTGTATAGGCAATGATATGTTCTTTTCTATTTGATTATTCTTATAAAAGAACAGCTTCTAGATCTATTTCAGATATATCTGTGTAGATGATCAAAGGTCTATTAAAGTCAGGGTAACTTAAGATCAGAGCTTTGATTAACATTTCTTTTAATCTATCAAATGCTATCTATTATTTGTCTTCCTAAAGGAAAGTTTCATCTTTCTTTAATAAAGTGAGCATAGGTTGAGTAATTTTTGAAAAATCTTTAATAAATTTCTGATAGTATGAAAATAATCTGAGAGTAACGCAGAGTTGTGTAAGGTTCATTGATCTTGAAAAATTCTTGACTTTAATTATCTTTTCAGGGTCTAGGCAAATTCCATTTCATCTTACTATATGTCCTAAAAAATGGATATTAGGTAGGCAAAAATAGCACTTCTTTAACTTAATTTTTAAGTTTGCATTCTGAATAGCTTTGAATACTTGGTATATATGATCTATATGCATTTTGAAGTTTCCTTTTGAATAGATTATTACATTGTCTAAATATACAGCAATGAAATCTTTGAATAAGTCTTGTAAGACTCTATTCATTAATCTTTAAAAGGTTCCTGATATATAACTTAGTCTGAAAGGCATTATTAAGAATTTGTATAGCCTGAAAAGTATTATAAATGCTATTTTCTCTATATCTAATTCATTTATGACTACTTTCCAATATCCACTTGTAAGATCCAGTGTAGTAAACTATTAACAGTTCTTAAACTTTCTAATAGGTCATTGATTCAGGGTAAAAGATAAGCATCAGCTTTGGTAATAGCATTTAATTTGTAATAATCAATGCAAATTCTTTTGTCACCACCTTTTTTATCTACAATTACTACGGGCGAAGCCCAAGGGCTTGAGGATTTTTGAACTATCTCTTGTTCTTCCATTTTGACTATTTCATTCTTAAGAAATTTTCAATTCTTTAGGTTAGTTCGATATGGGATTTGTGTGATAGGCACAGTATTGCCAGTTAAAATCTGATGTTTTATTAAGTTTGTTTTTCTGATCTTAGTTTGACTCTTAACACAAATGTCGGAGTGGTCATTTAAGAGAAATCCTTGTTGATCCGTCATGACTGTTATCAGGGATGACCTCCTTGCAGACGATGCGGCACTTGCCCATTACCTAACACAAGTTCCAAACTCATTTGGTTCTATGTGCACGTGACTACTTGCTCAGCCACACCATATTCTACAAGTTCGTGATCTACATGGTTTGTGCGCATCCTATGAAATTCATTCCCAGAATCGAACTGGTAAATCCCTAGAATTCTTTATATTTCTATTTACATCAAATGTTACTATTTTTTTTTTTTAAAAAAAAAAAAAAAAAAAAAAAAAATGATTCGTAGGGTGATTTTAATAGTAGCAGATTTCGGGAAAACTACACCTCCATATCCGCAAATGATGTATCGCATAACACAAGATCAAAAGGTAGAATAGCAAGCATATAACTATTTACAGAAGTGGCATCGTGGATTATTACACAAAATAAATAAATCATCATTTACTAAAATCAATTTCATATGTAATAGCTTAGCTCCCATCTTGGCGTTTTTGCAATAAAAGGAAGATTAACAAAAGAAATAAACAATTTTTTCGGAAATTCTTTCTTTAAACTTATCTATATAAGTTACACAATTTTTATGATCATACCATCCACAAAAAATTATGTCGCACATTGGATAAAATAAGAATAATTTGTTTATCAGCGGAATTCAATTAAATTAGAAAACCGAAGAAATTCTTAAAAGAGCAAAATGTCAATTTCTAGAATCATAAATCATATTCTATGAAGAATTCCTCGAAAAACTAAATCTGTTTCAAATCCGAATTTTTTTTTAATAAATACCGTGAGTCATATATTTCATATTTTCATCAAAAAAAAAAAACAAAAATGACACTTTCGATTACAGATACTGAAAATTCATTTGATCCGACTCCAAATTTAAAATCAAGCCCCGAACCGGTTATGTTTATTGCTTTCAATATTTCTAAAAACCCATTTGGTAGTAAATGTCATTGTGGCAATGAATACTCTTTGACATGTTTGTTTGACCAGGCTTATTGTAAAAAATGCCTTACCGGTTATACTGGACATATAACTGATAATAATATTTACTTGGATGTTCTTATTGTTAGAAATAACGCTCAATGTAATGAACATGAGGCAACTAGGAACATAGATTTCTGCACGCGTTATATTCAAGAATGGTGTGAACGTTGCTCCGATGTTTTATATTTTAAACAAGTATATGTAGAAAATTCCAATTATTCTATTGATAAGGAATTAAAAATATTGGAACGTAACAGAGATTGCAAATTATGTGGAAAATTAATTTATCATAAGAAAACTTCAATCGTTTTGAATACGTTCAAGATATGCTCAAATTGTTATAAAATTTCTACCGGTCAGGTAGAATCAACTTTAACTAAGAAACCTATTCCTATACTATATTTGCCGTGGTGGGATAGTAGTAATTGTAATTGTAGAGTCTGTAAAAAATCCCTCGAAATTCTGTCTGATTGTCAGAAATGGTGTTCATTTTGCCATATAATTTATGATGGGTGTAAATATTGTTTAACAACCAATATAATTTTTGGAATTACAGATCAATCTCAATGTAGGAAATGCAAAAGAATATCATTAATCGATATTGATACAACACTAATTAGCTCCGGGAACCATGATATAGATGAATTCATTCACAGTACTAAATTTAAAATTAAAGATATATCAGTTAATCCGATTACGAATTATATCAAAGATTCTGATCCATTAAGCATTTATAAATTATTCACAGAAAAATTTGTTCCTTCGCGTTCGATAATCAAATGGATTCCATATTCTCAATTCACAAATTTAGAAAAAATAGCAGAGGGAGGATTTGGCACGATTTTTAAAGCAAATTATTTAGATGGTATACCTATATATCGTAATAAAAATGTAATTGATAAGAAAGAACATACCGTGGTGATAAAAAAGTTTTCCAATTCAAAGGATATTAGCAAATATTTCATAAATGAGGTAATTATATAATGTTTCAAAGTCTGAAATGTAATTTAAATTAATAATCAAATTTTATTGATTTTTAGTTAAGTTCGCATCATCATTGTTGTTCTGATCAAAATGTAAATCGTGTTATGAGATGTCATGGCATTACCAAAGATCCTGTTTCAAATGATCATATGTTAGTAATGAATTATGCGTCAGGAGGAGATTTGCATAATTATTTAAAAAGTAATTTTACAGATTTAACATGGAATGAAAAAAATTCAAAAAAAAAATTATCTATTTTATGGCAGATTTTATATGGGTATATATTTATATATTTATGCTTTACGGGAAGTTTGATATAAATAATATATAGACATTAATAGCAATTAACTCCCACATTGTAATGCTAATTTATATTTGTTTTTGAAATTAGACTCGAAACTGTCCACCAAAAGGAACTTACGCATAGAGATATGCATAGTGGCAACATTTTATTTGTTAAATCTAACGTACCAATATATCAATGGAAAATTGGTGACTTGGGTTTATCGCAACCTGCAAATAAAACATCGAATCATGAAATATATGGAGTAATTCCCTATATTGCACCAGAAATATTTAATGGCGCTTCATTTTCAAAAGAATCTGATATTTATAGTATTGGTATGATTATGTGGGAATTTACAACGGGTTGCAAGCCTTTTGCTGATGCTGATCATGATGATAATGATCTTATTATTGAAATTTTCACTGGGAAACGACCTGAAATTACAAAAGATACTCCTGTGTGTTATGCTAACTTGATGAAAAGATGTTGGGATTCTGATCCTTCCAAAAGACCTTCAATAACAGAAGTTCGTAAGACAATTGGTAGTTGGTATCACGGACAAAAAAATAGTGAACAATTTAATCAAGCAGATATTAAACGATTAGAATTAATAAAGTTAGAGAAACTTGGGCCCAAATTTGCAATAATGCACCCAAAAGCTATTTATACAAGTAGAGCTTTAGGTTCTTTAATTTCTTGGTTTTGTTCTAAATATTCATCTATAAATTTGAAACAAGGTATATATTTGCTTAAAAGATACTTTAACAAATAGTATTCGATAATAAATTTATATAATTACCTTAGGACATATTTCGCAAGAAGATGAAGTTGACAGAGAATATATTACCAAAGAACTTGAATTTGACATATGTGATAATAGGTATTGTGTTTGACGCTAGTGAAAGGATTTAATTTATGAGATTTAATAAATAATCTAATGTTAGCTCATCTTTAAGATTTCAGTCTTCTTCCGTTACTCAATTTCCAGATGCAGTTTATGATGGACTATTAAGTGCAGATAGTAAGTCTTTAGATTTATAAACTTATAAGCAGCGTTGGGAAATTAGTACAGTTAGCACAGTTAATACAGTTTAGTACAGTTAGTACACATAATAATTAAGATAAAATTTAGTACAGTACAGTACAAGTACAGGGTCAAAGTTTACCTAGTACATACATATTTCCCAACCCTGCTAATAAGAGTATCTATTAATGAAGCATTTCACTAAATGTCCTTGAATTTGATTTAGAATATATTACAAAGGAATATGAATTTGATATTCCAAGGTATTTTAATAATATAATAATAATATTGTGGAGCTATTTTAAATAGAATTATTGAATTTCTCATATTTTTTTAATAATTTATATATATAGCACACCTAAAATAAATGAAAATTCAATAACTCAAAGGTCTTCAAATATTCGGCATCCAAATGCAAATATAATTATTTCAGCTGCAAACAAAAATAAACGTAATATAGAAGAATTGGAAGCTAAATCTCAAATTAACAGTAAGTAAAATTTTGATTTATGTAATTATAATGATTCTATAATGTTTAAATTACAACGATTTTTCCAAATAATAATTTAGACAAGCATATTAAAATTGCTGATAAAGTTTGTGAATTTGCAACGTCTGAAGAGATTAAATATAAAGTTGCTGAATTAACGATATGCAAACATTCTTTAGATTTTATTTTAAATAAGAATGACAATTAGATGGTAATTTTTGTATTTTTATAGATTATTATTATTTATTTATTATATTAATATTTATTTACTTTTCAATAAATTTATTAAAGAATCACTTTATAAGCCGGATTGAAGTTTTTTAAATAATCCGCTGTCCCATGTATCAAATGATGGTAATTCTATTTATCTCATGTTACTAATAGTCGCTCGTGATTTTCATAGTGATAATTTCATTTGTAGAAATATCAAATTTCATTTTAAAATTGAGTAATATATGATACTTTGTTCGATTGCCGATATGATAACGTGATATTTTATCAATCGTTCATTAATATTATATTAATTGATTATACATAATACAATAAACATTAAGAAAACTTACATTTATAATTTAAAAGACACAATTATTGTAATGACAATTGTAGCAATTGTAATTTAGTTTGCATGTTATCAGAAGAAAATGGTGTTGTGTCAATTGAATTAGTAAAATTTTGATGGACTTGACGGCTCTATAAAACATTTTAAAGTGTTCATAGTGCAAGTTTTTTTTCATTTACTTTTTTTATATAAAGAATTATTGAATATTTTGTGCCAGTTACTCACATTACATTATCATCTTGAAGAATCAGAAACAATTTTTGACCATTATTTATGACCAGGTGAAAGAAATAACTATGTATCATAAAAATTATGTTTTAAATTTACACAAGCTTTTCAATAAAATACAGTTAATAATTTATCATCATTCGGCAACAAATTAACTAATAATTATTACATTTAATTTTTGACGCAGAAGTTTATAATTTAAATTTTTAGATTAAATACAAATTATTCATGCGGAAAATTAAAGTTTAAATATTATAATAATCATGAAAATTAACGCATCGTTGTATTATTATTGTACAATTCGAAAGTAAATGCGATAAAATTGGATTAATGGAATTATATATCGATAAGCACTAGAATAATTTGATGTATTATCGGATAGAAATTTATTCATAGAACCAAAAAAAAAAAAAATTTGCTAATAAATAAAGAGTAAAGTGGTGCATTTAAATTACACTTATACCTTCTGGAACTATTACATTAATAAATCTAATAAATAGTTTGTTTAACGTCCGCTGTAGAAGAATTAAGGTTGCGTGTAAACCTATAATGATTGAAACTATAAAAATCAATAAATCATCAAAAACAGACATTATATATTAAAATTCCAATCGAAAGTCTAAATCGAAGTATATCGTTTCGTTTGTCTATAGATGAACTCTTGATAACGACATTTACAAGGAAGTATTCCCTGGAATACTTCGATGGCTTATTGTTACGATGATGAAATATAATAATTAAATAAAATTACTTTAGATAGATAATTTCTATAACTGCAATTTCTGACAAGTTTATGACTTTGATTCAGTTAGACTAGATAGAATTTTTGTATTTTCTTGAATTTGTTTTGTATTTGTATAAATTTACTTACATTATCCTTCGTTTTACAACTTAATATCAAAAGATCCTGAAACTGGAAAAAATTTAAATATACTACAAAATATAAATTTTTTCTTTTACTTTAATTACTTTAGTTACAATTCTTATTTTTTGAAATTATTTATACTTACACGAATTATTTTATGATATCGTAACCTCCATAATATTTGGTCGCGATTGATTATAAAATTAAATAGGTAAGCCGAAGATTATAATGCTTCCTAAACTATTATAAATTTCACGCAAATTCTTCGAATATCACATATCAATAGTGGATAATGCACTCAGTTCTTATTGTTGCAGTTCTACGCCACCAATACTATTAAATTTTTTATCCAATCGCTCAATTTTGGTTAATCTTAATCGATAGCGTGCTCTAATTATTGTCTTATAACATATAAGCTCATTCGTTAATTACAAAATGGTAAGTATATTATGTCCATAGTATTTGAACTACAAGTCCAACGCAATATAGTGACAGTTCACATCCCTTCCGCCACGGTCTTTTGTATATTAAAACGATTTATCAAAATTATGATAAACACCATTTTATATGAAATAAAGTTAAAGACACTAGTGAGATAATTATAGGGAATTACATTTGCTTGCAGGGTTTATATCTTAATCAATTTACTATTTATTTTATAATAAAGCTTTTAAATTTAATTAATTTCAAAGTTAAAATATAATTTTTTTAATTTATTAAATAATGTATAACGAGTAATAAAAATAAATTATGTAATGATTCAATTTACATTCATAATATAACTAATTTAAAGCATAAAATCATCAATTAACTTTTAATTACCAATGTTACATTTATCCTTAAAATAAATATCGAACGAAATTTATTTATAATGGTAAAATAGACTCTTTACTTAAATATGATTGGTTCAAAAATTTATGTTTGTGTAACATTTTTTAAAAAAAAGAAAAAGAAAAAAGAAATGTTTTTGTATCATTACAAAAAAAAATTTACAACTTCGTAACTATTTAAGCTAGTCACATGAAAAATTAATATGTATGAATTTCAATACCCGCTGAAAACTTAACATACGCATTTTTTGCTCGTTTTAAAAATGTCCACATTATGCCTTGAAAGTAAAAAAAAATAAAATCGCGTCTTAATATTATTTAAAAAAACATCTATAATAAAACAAGAGGAATCATGTAAACTGATATACAGGTATTTCCATAGCTCAAGAACGGTTTTTTCGTTGTTTAGGCTGGCCTAATAACTAAAATTATCTTTTGAAATTTACTATAACGCGTTTTTATGAAATTATTTATGGAAATGTTCACAATATATTGAAATTTTGAATAATATTTAACTTTATTATACTTTTCTGCTTCTAATACTTGATCATTAAGTTAACAAAAACTATTAAATTATATTTAAACCATAAAGGAAAAATATATGAAGAAAAATTTATTGTCGTAAACGATACAGTACTTAAACAAATTAATTAATGTGCAACCAATAAAATTTGGGAGATCTATTAGATTCCTCCAAGAAATTTCATTTATTTAAATTTAAACAAAAAAAAATTTCATTTGTTATATACGTACTAATTTATTTAACGACCGCAAGTCTAGTTTCTTGTATTTCAATATAAGCACGTGCCTCAAGAAAGGAATTACGTAATTTGATGTAATGGATTCAGATGAAAATTCGTGATATGTAGTGATTATAAATGCGTTACGTGATTGAAATCTGTCATATTTCATTATCGTGTAATTCGTAAATTTCGAAAACAAAATGTATGTACGACTTCTTTTCGTATGGGGGCGGTATGGTTGCCATTTACCTAATTAGGATAATCAATGTTTAAACTAAACTTTATATGATTCATACATCATTATTGGTTCATTCAAAAATGATCGATGACATAAATAACATATAATCCTTATTACTATATATAAGCACCTCTGTTCCTCCCTTTGTTCCCTTCACGTTCATTTAGAGATAAAATGCAGGAATTTTTATTGGTAAATCCATCGGGTCCACCACGAAAAGCGGTTTTATTGGTCGAGTCAGATGAGCAAAAATCTGTCGAAAAACCACAGCAAAATAATGATCCAAAAAATCACGACGAAAATACTCCAAAACAATCTTCGGAAAATCGTCAAAATAAACAAGCTCCAGATCAAAAACGTCGCGATGAACATGCACAAAAACAAGCTTCGGAACAGCATCAAGATAAGCAAGCTCAGACATCTAATAACGACCAAAAACGTCACGACGAACATGCGCAAAAACAAACTTCGGTTCAGCGTCAAGAGGTGCGTCAAGAGGTGCAAGCTCAAGCAACTAATAAGGAACAAACAAATCACGACGAACATTCACAAACAAAATCTACGGTTCAACGTCAAGAGGTGCAAGATCAAGTAGCTAACAAAGATCAAAGCCATGGCGATGATCATACAACAAAAAACTTAGCGGACCAGCGAAAGGCTATGCAAGCACAACCACCTGGACAAACCAATATTCCGGGACAACCAAATCAACAATTTCCTGTTCAAATTCCAGCGAACATGAATTCAATGCAATTTGGTCAACAGTTTGGCATTCCAAGTACTAATCAATCTTTGGACGCTAATGCTTTTGCAGCTTTGCAAGCGCAAGCTATCGCACAACGTGAAGCTTTACAAGATATTTCACAAATTACGTCAACACAACAACCGTTACAAATGCCTTCAAATTTCATTGGTGTTGCATCGCAACAAGTACATCAACCAGCTGCACCCGATTTTTCAGCGCAAGTTCCGATGCCTACTGCGAATCCAGTAACCACTTTATCTAACGACGTTCTGCAAGCTAATATGCTTGCAGCTGGTGGAGGGAGTGTACCTTTTAACGCTAATGGTGGAAATTCAGAACCAAGGGGAATTGTACTAAATGAATTTGGACCATCTACAATGGAAATGGATTAAATAAGTTACAACATAGCCTTTAACATTTCATAAAGTGAACTGAAATAAAAATTTTTTTTTATTAGATAAACTAGGTCCATTATAAAGATATTGATTTTAATCTATGATATGCTTTTACTTCAGTCATTTTTTTTTGGACGCAAATTGAATTTCAAAGTTGTTTAGAAAGAATTAATAAAATTTTAATAATAGAAAATAAAAAGAAGAAAATAACATCATTCATCTGAATCTTTTCATAAATTTTAAAAATCTTACGTTCGACCAGATATCTATTAGTCTAATTTATAATACACTAAGCAACTTGAAAGTTGACGTAGTCGATGATAAAATTATTGTTTAACATATAAGGATTATTATTATGCAATGAATTACGTAATTCTGGTAATAATTATCTCATTAGACACACTTTTATGAAGACATGAAATTGTTTCGCTTCGTATGATCACATGATTTCAAAAAACGAGCATATTAAATCATATGATCAGTAACATGATTTTTTAAAAGCAAATTTCTCCTATATTCCAAGAAAATAACAACGCAAGCTATTTTTGTTTCACTTGCGTGACCGGTCCTAATAACTAAAAAAATAATTCGAATCAATTAAAGAAGCAATGCTAATAAACTTTATTTTAAATACACAATTCGCGCAAAATTCTGATAATAATAGATTAACCTAATTCTAAAATAACGATTCATCGAAAGAGATTTTTATTCTAAAGTAGATAATATGTAAATATATATATAAAATTAAACGTGTAAATTAAAAATAAATTCAGGCTCATTCTGTAAAGTCTAAATTAATGTACATTATCGCCAGTTAACAAGTTTTTCTATATAAAAAGTTTAATTTCAATAAAAAAAAAAATAATCCGTTAGTATTGATATGGTAGTCAATCATATGTATAAATAAAGTTCTTCCTTACTAATAATGTGAGAGTTGATTTCTGATTCTTCAATATCACGTTTTCTTGAAGAATTCTCGGATGAAATAGCTGAATTTATTAGACTTGTATGAGTTCTACTTTGAAACCGAGTATTTGAAGTAACTTTTGTCGAATTTGCATTCATAGCAGGTGGGCTATAACATCATTAAAAATATAAGAAACTCATCTTTTTATTAACGATTCTTTATTTATAAACAATTATAATTTTAATTTATTACAATACCTAGAAATATCAAATTCAAATTCTTTAGAAGTATATTCTGATGAATAAAAATTTAAAAATAAACAAATAATTAGTTAAACCTAATTGGCATAAACTGTATTTTCATAAATTTTTTACCATTTAATAATATATTAACGTACCTTCGTCTTGATACCGTATATTAGATGACAATATATTATAATTTTTATTTGCTAAAGACAAACTAGTTATACTTTATATATTATTTATATATTAATTCAATTTAAAATGAATAGACACCATATTGATAATTAAAATTTACAATACCTTTGATTATTTATATCAAAATCATGTTCCTTCGAAATATATCCTAGCATAAAAATAGAAAAAAATAATAAGGAACGGAAAAATTAAAACCCACACTAATTAACTTTTATTAACATTTTTACTATATTATAATTAATACCTTGCTTCATATTATGTGATTTAATAAGTGAT